GTGACAGAGATGTTGGGATGAGGTGCCTTTATAGATTTTTACATGGAAAGAGAGGTCCAAATATGTAAAAGTGTCATTATAAATGGATATGTAATTCTTTCTATTCTTCTAATAGGGAGGCGTGTTACTGATGGAGTAACTGATATTTGGGCCCGATCGAATAAAGGCGTAAGAAATACTTTCACCAGACCGTAGGAGACTTACAGGAGAAAGTTTGTTCACCCTCCGTTCCGCCCCTGTAATACGCAAATAGACCATTAAAGAGGAAAATGAAGCAGACGATATGAAAATCGTAATTAGGCGGGAAGTGAACTTTAGTCTGTCGATTAAACGCGTTTACTTCATTTCCGTTTTTCCCTTAACTTTTGCATTATAATAATCGTTAGACAATTCAGGTAAATAACCGTCACCATTACGAATAGATAGCCTTCTTTCCATTCAGCAGATTAACTTACGTAAATGCTTTGTGATATACAAATACAAGGAATCGAAATCGATAGTCATCTTGGTAATTTCAAAATGTCTAAATTTCTTTCTTTCCTAATTCATTGACTTCATATTTTCTCTAAATTTATTGCAATAATGTGTTTCGAAAATCGTAATCTTTGCAAAAATTCCATGGATCTTCTCACTGATATCTGACATCTGAAAATTAAACATGTAAATGAATCAAAGATTTTTTAAACGTGATTCCCTCCAAAGAAATATTTTGTGTCATGTTCAAAAAGAATGACTAAACAAGTGGTTACTACGTATGTACATACATGTAAATACATGTTCTGTAAAATTAATTAAATATTTGCATAATTATATTGACTTTTATTAATGTTTCCTGTTTGTACAGGCTTCTAAAATATAATACTGATATAAAATTGAATAGATTAGACTACTATTTATTTGTACAAAAATACTAAAGTTGAAACGGTAAAAAAAAATTAATATTTTGTACAATATTGCCTAAATAGTAAACTAAAATAGATAGGACAGACGAGAAATTCATGAATATGTTTTTCTAACTACAAATATGTACATATTGAATGTTATAATAATAAATAGAGTACATATTTCATTCAATTGATATTATATATTTAGATGTTTATCTAATATTATTCATAATAATATTTCTTATCATATTCTTTATTCGTAAAAATATTTTTGATAAAATAAAAAATATCAGTTGTGATGTCAAGGCGTTCTAGCGTTCCGACGTCTTTCGCGATTCAATTTCTACTGTCTCATTGCAATCTTAAGTTGCTCTTTTCCAGTCAGAATGGAGATAATTGCTCCACCTGATGTCGAATCCTCGCTATCTTCAACAGGTTGCAGCTAACCGATGGATCGATGACGATCGTTAGATAAGCGTACAATTTGCGGACCAACTTTCTAGAATGGGTGCTGCTCCAGTGCCAGTCTTGGAGATCTCACCCAAGCTTCTAAGGTAGAAGGCTGGCGATATCGAGACAAAACATACACTCCTTTAATCTCACTTTTCTCTATTGACATGATCCCTCTGGAGCCTCAGGGGGATACCTGATACTCTATAAATTCCACCTGGGACGTAACATCAATCATTTCTCAGACAATTTCATTGATCAACGATGTGTTGAAACTATTGGAAATAAATAAATATCTTTACAATCTTGCTATGATACCACATTAGTATTTCACAATGTAACAGTTGCCAACAAATCGCCATACAGAAACCAAAGATATACATTTTAAATGAAACAACAAAGTGTATAATTTTTCTTTACAAGTTATAGTTATATTCTTGGACTCTGTATTGTCAATTGTTGTCAATTGAGACTAGAAAATAAAATTTGGGCAGTGAATCTAAAGAAATATGTTGTAATAACATGATTCAGATGAACGTTCTGCAATCAACAGTATTATACAATATTAATCACACATCACAACTTTGGTCACGTGGTTTCGGATACTTTGCGGGATCGAATAGTTTTTTTATGTTTCACAGGTTCTATTACACTATCATTATCAGACATTGAAGAATCTCTTAATGTTTTTCTTCCGCGTCCCACGTTTCTCTCTTCATTTTCAGATCCAACAGATTCTCTGTTTGATTTCCGCCTTTGACGTTGTGGAATTTGATTATGAACTTCCATAGCTTCGCGAAGATGTTTCCGTTTTGCCTCCCAAAATATTTCTTGTCTTTGTGCAATTTCAGGATATCTATCAAATTAATTGCGTTCAACGAATGAAGTAGAAAATTCGATATTTCTTAGATCTATAATAAAGATTATTATAATACCTTTCAGTAAATTCTTTAGTAGGTGGAATGACTAAACGCCATCCTTTTTGTGTTTCATATACTGCTAAATTTGTGAAGATTTCTTTAATTTCATCAGGAGGCAACTTAATAACAGATGAAATTGTTTTTCGATCTAGGAATTCATGTTCTGTGAATGATAACAACTGAAATTATGCAATCGTTAGTATAATATTATATATAATCTTTTTTTATAAATTATGTAATGAATATAACACTTACAACATAATCCCTAGCTCTGCACATAAGTTCAGCAGGAATACCATTATGTGATGATACTGTATCTTTTGGGTATAGAAGTTCACTACTTACAACCCAATTTCCCTGTACTAAAATTGCTACTTGTTGCAAATATTTTAAAATAGCTGCTACTTCTTGATCTGGTGATAAAATTGATCTCAATTGCGCAAAGGACATTACTTTGGCTAAAAAATAAATTTTTAATATTATCACACGATAATTTAAAATTAATATATCTTTAAAATACTAACCATCTTTCATGAATGTTTTAACTTGATCAAGAAGAGGTAAACTCCTAATATAATTGAGAGATGAAGTGGAGTTGGCAAAATCTGATACTGATTCTTCTTTTATTTTTGGTACTAATAAATCTAAATATTGTTTTGTTGATATATTTAATGTATTTATAGTTTCATCAGTAGCAGAACAAAACATTTCTAAACGAGTAAGCTGAAAATATATGTTTGTAATAAATGTTTAATACAATATTTCAATGATAAAAAAAATAAAATATATACCTCTGCTTGAGAACCATTTGCTGGGACATAATTTGTATGAATCCATCTTTCTTCTAAACTTTTTTTAGTATGATGCTGAAAAGATTGTTCTTGCATCTTTTTCATATATTCAGGCTTCTGTCTAGCAAAAGTTACATTAACTTGTTTTGGACCTTCATCTTCCTCATCATAATCTATACATTAAAGATTATTATCATTGAAAAATTAAATTAAAAGCAAATTAAATTAAATCAAGAAATTTATTACCTTCACCCATATTTTTAGCTTCATCTCTTAAACGTTTATCACTCTTATCTAAATAATCGAACCCTGGACGTAACTGAATAATTCCCTTTAGTGGTGTTATATGTAACTCCCCATCTTGAAATATGCCAACTCCATAATTGGAGCAATTTGGCAATACGCGAGAAGATTGTAATACTACTTTATCCATAATATTACTGTAACATGAAATGTAATATATAATATAAATTAAACAAATAAAACATTATTTATTTGTATGTTTATACTCTTTGAAATACCTATCAAATGCCTTTTCATCATCTTCTTGACTAGTGTTTCCATCGCCATCAGCATTAATTGCAATTTGTTCGCCCTTACTTTTATCATAATTGACATTATGTATATCAATTGATACTTCTATGCGAACTTCCTGATTCTCTGGTTTTATTGAACTTTTTAAGAAATTAGCATTGTCATAACCTTCTCCAGAAGGACGAACGGGGTATTGAAAAACAAATAATTTATCTGCAAGTGTTTTTGAGAGATATACTGGAATCTAAAAGAAATTTAAAATAAAAATTTGTCATGCTTTAATAAATACTGATATAATATCTACAGTTAATTAATATATACAAATTATCA